CTTCAGATTTGTGTTGAAAATCCGAATCTTGTTGTTTATGCTGGGGTGGAGTGCAGAAGATTAATACGTCTTTCCGATTCTGACTGGCTTTGACATCCTCATTCGTTCCACCTGCCTGTGGTTGAAACGATGCTTCCTAGATAAGTGACGGAAGTAACCACTTTCAAATCTCTCCCTTTGATGATGATTTGTGCTGGTTGTTGTTGCTTTCGGTTCGTTGGTTATCTTCATCACCTCTGTCTTTACTATGTTCACCATCATTTTCTATATTTACCCACTAAATGTGTGGGTGTGTTCACAATTTATACTTCAGAATTAGTTATGCACATAATATCTGTGAAAACTTTGTGCAAAACTCGAAGATCTGCAGTCGAAACCCAACAAGTTTGTTGAAGAGTTAGCGAAGATAGGATTCCAGCTGACAGAGGTGAAAAAGATACCAAACCACCAACAATGAGTATCAATCAATCAATCAATCTATAGGTAGTCGCCTTTTTCACACTACCTCACCTGGGTAGGCTTTTTCCCAACTTTAGAGAGCATGGATAAGAATTTCTAAGCCAACCAGGATTGGGAAACTAAGACAAGCGTTTATGACTCTGAAATTCGCGTGGACATCTACTACACTCGGCACAAAGAAGAAGATCTTAATTTTCAACATCAATATCAAATCAGTGATTCTACATAGTTCGAAGATTTGGACTACGTGTAATCAAAAGAATTTTCATCAGGATACTGTAGGCTTCCATCAGTAACTACCCTCGCTCTATAGCGAAGATCGGATAGCCGGCTGGACAGGAATAACAACCAGGAACTGTAGTTGTAACGATAGAAGATGAAAGACTTGGTAAAGGAATACTTTTATTTGAAATTTGGCACGTCGATATAGCGAAATTACGTATGTAACAACAGAAGACAAGGGCCAGCCAACAGATCGTTTATTGAAGAAGTCAAGAGATTTTTATAGATTTTTATGTACATTATTATTCGTAATTATTAACAGAGAAACAGCGTCTTCTGATTGGTTGTTTTCTCGCTGAAAGTTAATCTGTCATCTCTTTGTGGCTGTTTCTTTGAAGGTCATACCATATATCTGCGAATCATATCCGCCGACGCAAAGTCTGCTGTGATTGGTTGTTGAGTTAGTCTTTATTTGGGTTGGGACGTAAACATTGACGTAAATTCCTGTCTACCAATTTTGCCTAGCAGACAGCTCTCACCACACGTACACCTTATCTCCAACGCACCATATGCACAAATCTTCCGTGTTGTGCCTGCTACTTCTGGTCTTCATTATGTGTTTCTTTGTGTTCCTTTCACATCTTCATGTATCGCTGGAACTCTGTGTGATTTGCTTTCTCTGACATCAAATCTATCTTCCTGCTATTTGATGTTTTTTCATGCCGATGAACATCTCTTTATACATATATATATATACTACTGATAAATCTTATCAGTAACACACACCAAATGGTGGTTCATCAGCGAATCTGACAAGAATGTATTGCCGAGAGTTAGTTCACAGGGATTTGATTTCTTTCAAGCTTGGCCACGGCTTGATATGAGTTAGTGAACCTTTGAAAACCAAGGAGTAATGGACAACTGTTTCGTCCTTGTTTGGGACTCATCGGCAGAACGCATCCACCGCAAGAATTGTTCTCCTGAACCTGCCGGTTACAAGCCAAGTTCGTAGACCATGAATATAGTGCTCACCACATATGTAGAAGGAAATTTAGATGGATTAGACGATACTGTGGAGACTGTTGAGTGATATCACGTGACAGGCTGACACTTGAGTCGAACTCAGTTGGAAAATTACAAGTTCGATGTCTTTGGGTGATATAAGGCGATCGTTTGATGTGGAAGTGGAATCTTACGGACAGTCGTGGAGGTAACTGAAAAAAAAAAGTTGGAGAACAGAGGACAGTAGGAGATGTGATTCTAATTAGTGCAGTGTGGCGGTCAGTCGTGAGTTAGCTATTCTACAACGTCTCTTCACTCGTACATGATAATATTTCTCCCAGGAATTCTTTTGGAGAAATCTGTTAACACTGACATATTTCATAACACGATTTCACTTTTTACGCACACTTGAACATCTAATCTGGGAGTGTTATAGCCAGCTGTCTACATCCTCCCATGTCTTAATTTACACTCGCTTAATCTTGTGACGCAAATCTCCCGAATTCTGTCTTTGATGAGATGATGGATACATACAGCTGATGAGTACCGATCTAAGATGAAACATCCTGTATGGTGTGTGTGGAGGTCAGTCATGAGTTAGCTATTCTACAACGTTTCTTCACAGTCTTAACCGAGAAAATTTCTCTTCACTCGTATATGATAATGTTTCTCCCAGGAATTTTCTTTTTGCAGAAATCTGATAACATTGACATATTTCATAACATGATTTCATTGTTTATGCATACTTGAACAACCAATCTAGGAGTGATATTGCCGGCTGTCTACATCCTCTCATGCCTTAATTGACACTCGCTTAATCTTGTGACACAGAACTCTCGAATTCTGTCTTTGATTAGATGATGGATGTATACAGCTGATGAGTACCGATCTAAGACGAAACAGCTTGTACGGTTCTTCTCCCTAGCTTTCAATGATTCTTCTTTAAGCACCACTAACTGCCACCAATCAACGAATGACCTCGAACGCACCAATCACGCGAAGGAGGCATTTTTGTGTATGGAGTACATATACGTACGAAAAAATGCATAAAAACTGTATAAAAGCGTTACAGAGAATACTTTTCTCTCACATGTTAGAAAAATAGCTCTCAGTTTCAGGTTGGAGTAACAACAGAGTATAATTCCATTGTGGGTAAAATTTATTTTGATTAAGTTTCACAGTGTTATTCAGTAATATTTATTTGGCAATAAACTGTGCTCGAAACGTCGTCAGCCGCAAATATTACTGTATAACAGCCTGAGACTTAATCAAAATAAATTTTATCCACAATGGAATTATACACTACCACAGTGCACAAGTACTATCCACATTCTATGCTTGCAATTATTTAGGTCTTCTAAGCCTAACAATCACTCTAATCTCTCCTGAACCTAACTCTAACGTGCAAATATCCCCAAACTAACTGTAATCTATTTTGGTGTGGTTGTGTTCTCTGAGCTGGATGGTTTGGTTGCGAAGCTTTCATTGCTCTACTGAGCAACATCTTCAGCGCATACTTCGATGTGAAGTGAGCTTTTAGAATTCTCTATGAGTTTATTAGTCATCTCTTCCAGTAACCTTGAACGTGATTGGTTGTTTTCGTGTGACATTTCACCCCCTAGTTTGCTTGTCTCGGTGCTGGCTGCTTCTTTGGTCTGAATGTCGTCAGTCATTCCTTCTGCTAACCTTGAACGTGATTGGTTGTTTTCGTGTGAAATTTCACCCCACATTTTTAGACGTCTTAATCAAACGAACAACTACAGGAAAATTAGTAACCCAAGTATACAGAAAACCAACGCACACGGATCAAATACTCAATTACAACAGTAACAACCCAACATCACACAAAATTAGCTGCATACGTACATTCTTCAAGAGAGCCAGGACTCATTGCAGCATTCCCGCCTTGAGGAAATTTGAAGAAAATCATCTTATGGACGTCTTCCAAAGAAATGGATACCCACGAAACTTCATCAAAAGACATCTACCCCCAGCTCAACCAACCAAATCAAAGGCCACCAGCGAAAACACAAAGAAAGTCGTCCTACCATATATAAAAGATATCTCCGAAATCACTGCAAGACTTCTCAAAACTTTTGGAATCGATGTCGCTCATAAACCAACAAAGTCACTACACTCAGTTCTATGTAAACCGAAGGACTCAACGGCAAAAGAAGACAAAACTAACGTCATCTACAAGATAAGTTGCAACGACTGTGACAAACATTATATTGGTCAAAGTGGACACCCTCTTCGTCTTCGCATTCACGAACACAAACTAGCTGTCAAAAGACACGACATACACTCCCTCATATCACTACATGCAGACAACCACGGGCACCAATTCGACTGGGACAATGTTCAAATCTTAGACAAAGGGAACTGCAAAAATGCCAGAGAATTCCTAGAGGCCTGGTATTCAAATGAATCAGCAATCAATAGACACATAGAGATTGACAAAATATACCAATCCATACGAAGAAATTCACACCAAAACAACGTCAAACTTCAGGTCAAGGAAACAGTCAACACCAAAACAAGTGAACTAGAAAGTGAGAAGTCACACAAAAACAACCAATCACGTTCAAGGTTAGCAGAAGGAATGACTAACGACATTCAGACCAAAGAAGCAGCCAGCACCGAGACAACCAAAGTAGGGGGTGAAATGTCACACGAAAACAACCAATCACGTTCAAGGTTACTGGAAGAGATGACTAATAAACTCATAGAGAATTCTAAAAGCTCACTTCACATCGAAGTATGCGCTGAAGATGTTGCTCAGTAGAGCAATGAAAGCTTCGCAACCAAACCATCCAGCTCAGAGAACACAACCACACCAAAATCATTCACCTGAGCTACAAATCTTCTCTATTATATCTAACTGTAATCTAACTCGAACCAACCTTCATGTTGCCTTTATTAGGTTAACCTAACCATAACTTGTCCTTTGCTTAAAGTGTAACATAATCTTTCCCAAACCTAAGCTGAAACTTGCCAGATATCCCATTTAATAATCTAACACTTCGATGAGCATGTTTCAGTTGGTGATGACAGCATTACTTGCCAGATTTTACTAACTTGCTCGATGCACGTCTCAAGGTCATTGGTGCAGCCGCACTCCACTGGTAGTTAATGGTGCTTTAGGTTTAACTTGGCCTCGGACTGATTTCGATACGTGACAAACCGTCTCCTAAAAGTCAGTTGAATTCTCAAAAATTCATCTATGATGTTAATTCTCTTCGTTTGTTCAACACATTTATTTTTATCGTGGAATCTTGTTTGCTTGTTATTTTTATTCGTGTGTTTTTCCACTTTAGTCCAGTGAAAACTATGAACAAATCAGTGTAGAAACAAAAACGCTGACTGAAAAACTGCTCAACACACCTTGGGAACAGATACAGTCAACTAATTCAACGAATACACGTGAAGGATATGTATTTGTAGCTACAAAAAGTAAGTATGCGTCTGTATGTGCGTGGGTGTGTGTGTGCGTGTGTAAGTGTATATTTGTAAGCTTGAATTTGATTGATTACTCTCTCTTATTGATAATTAACTCAGCTGCTAAGTGTGTGTTAACGCTAAATTTTATTCCCTTAAGAAGACAATGTATACTACTAATTACTCTTGATATGAGTAGTTGTATATACTACTCACATCAAAAATCAGTAGTGCTTGCTAGTAGTTAGCAAGATGCAAGTGATCTAAACACCAGAGATAGCTGTTTCCCTCGTTTGTGGACGAGTTCATCAACGATGCATCACATCTGGTTTGTCTCAGCTTCTGCTATCCACATCGGAGAACATATAATACGTTGAATCGAAATCGTGATTTGCAATTTATGTAGTTCAAGGAGATGAAATTTCACTACGGTTCCGCTCCCCTTCCCCTAGAAACCGAAGTTTGAGTGTATTATTGATATAAGTATAAAACTTGGGCACTGTGCTGGTAGAGTATAACTCCATTATGGATAAGATTTTATTTTAATAAATCACACAGTGGTGCTATACAGTGATATTAACTGATGACCACATTTCGAGCACAATCTATCACTGCTCATAATCATATGAAGTCACTCACTCACACAACTTTCTTGCTTCATTTATATACATGAGTGGAATTGATGATTAGACATTTGAATGCAAATCAGTAATATGGGATAATGTACATTCAGAAATAGTAATATGAGTGTTATCAATCAAATACAGTCAGATGGGAAATAAGACGAGTGTTTTTATAGTCATAATGAGTTACTTGTTAGAATGTTGTGATTTGCTTGAATTGAAATAGAATTTTAAGATTATTTATTATCCTCCTCTGATTTCACTGACTGGTGGTAATGATATCTTCCATGCATATCTCTGGTATTTGCGTTGAGTCATTTCTGTTGCATGTGTTGTGTTGGGTGTAGACTCGATGACCCCGCCAGGATTCAGTATTGAATCCCACCCTCCATCTACCTATATTACTTTTTAGATTTTTGACTCTTTCCCACCCTAATGTGTGTTTGTGTATTAATGCATGCAGTGCAATGTAGTGCGGTTGAATCATTTCCAGCCTAAAATTATTACCTCCTTAGATTCTAAGGAATAATCTGTGTAGGTGGAGAGAGATAGAGAGAGTTCGATTACTGAATCCTACCTGGTTCATCCAGTCTACACCCGACACTTGACTCAATGCAAATACCACAGATATGCATGGAAGATATTATTACCACCAGTCAGTCAAATCAGAGGAGGATAATAAATAATCTTAAAATTCTATTTCAATTCAATTCACGTACATCATAACATTCGAACAAGTTAGTCATTTATCTTGACTATAAAACACTCGTCTTATTTCCCATCTGACTGTATTTGATTGATAACACTCATATTATTATTATTTCTGAATGTACATTATCCCATATTACTGATTTGTATTCAAATGTCTAATCATCAATTCCACTCATGTATATAAATGAAGCAAGAAAGTTGTGTGAGTGAGTGACTTCATATGATTATGAGCAGTGATAGTTTGTGCTCGAAACGTTGTCGTCAGTTAATATTACTGTATAACAACACTGTGTGACACTTTATCAAAATAAAATCTTATCCATAACGAAGTTTGAGTGGTTTGAATTAATTTAGCTTTCTGAGCTGAGCCAAACCAGCTACACACCTGGTGGTGAGCCACTGGCTTCAAATTACCGAATCGGTCGTCCGGTGTTTAAATCACTTTCATCTGACTAGTTAGGAGGCACTACTGATTGTTGATGTGAGTGGTTTTGAACTACTTATATCAGTCAATCAATCAGTAGTATATTATGACATTCAATTTTACTTGCTTTCCTGATTTCCATTTATGGTATGAGGCAGATCACGTTCTCTGATCGCTCATCAAGGGAAACTGTGGTTAGATTTCACCCCCTCTAACTGTGTTTTTTTTATTGTAAATCACTAATTTCATCTTCATAATATGAATGATTCTCATTTGATATAATTAAGAATGTACAAGACAGCAAAGAGATGCCTTTTCGCAACTTCACTTATAAGCTGTACAGTTATTTATTAGTCTACGCAAATTCAGTCTTAATTAACTCAGAAGGTTAGAGGTTACTGTCAGCTGTTAACTTCTGTTGATTCGCGATTTTGGTGCCCCCCCCCCACCCGCAGCAACAGCCCATGCCATTCATCAGCGAGCCACCTAGTGGCAAACTTGACTGATAGAATTCAATCTCCACTAATCAGAAGACTCGACACATTGCACTAATTACTAACTGATGTCCAGTCAAAGTATCATATTCTTCAGTAATTTGGATGAATATGTCTTTAGCATATTTTTTTCTGACTTTTCCATGGATTATCATTGCAGTTGAGGCCATTCCTACAACACATAAAAAGAGACAATTATCCAATGTACCAACTGAAACCAGTTTGGAAATCTTCTGCTGTCACTCAGCATAAAGAACAAGATTCTCATCTTCAACACCAATGCCAATTCAGTTCTTCTATACGGGTCAGGAACTTGCACTGCGCTCACGTCATGAGTGGCAGACTTTTATCAACAGCTGCCACCTTCACTGGCTGACTCCATACTGAAGATCAAATGGCCAGCCGGTTGGCCAGAAAGAATTAGTAACAAGAAACTCTGGCTGGAAACAAACTAACCAAGAACCGATTGCTCAAAAATATATGTAGAAGAAAAATGAGATTGATCGGACACACACTGAGGAAGTCGTCGAATGACATCGCGCGTATTGTAAGCCATCGCTCGAGTGAAATCCCAGTGGGAAGCGACGAGTGGGTCGTCGGCGCGAGGGTGACATAAAGGAGATCGTTTGAGTTGAAGGATATGAGAGATTTTCGGCAATCGTGGTCACAGCTGAAGAGGACGGCAGAAGATAGGACAAAGTGGAGATGTGTTGTTGAATCCCTATGTTCCACTCGGAACTCAAAGGAATAATAATAATGATATCATGTTTGAAAGGCTCTTTAGTGAATTTCTAATCGATATCCACTTCCCTTATCTGAATTCTGATTGGTTCTTCAAGGTCACTGTAATTTTTTGCTATGTGATAGTTTAACTTCGCCTCAAATTAGTAATTTGGATTTTGTCAAATTTTATAATGTTTCTTTTTAATCATACTCAAAATTGTTTTTGTTTTTTTATTATATTTTATCTATTCTAGAAGCTGTTGTAACAGTTTGGACAAAAAATTTCTGTACATACAATCGTAACAGTAAGATATTAAAACTTACCCCGTACACTCAATATCAAGATGCAGATAATGTAAGCTGGTTAATGCTTCCTTCGTCTTTTCTTCTGTTTTATTTATTTTGTTTTTTAGAGAGAGGAAGAGAGATTGGTGTTGTCTAGAATCCATTTTGCTGTTTGAGTCATTGTGTAATAGACTGGGGCGTTGCGTCTTAATTTAGGATACTTCAGAGTTCGGCACCCTTTCCTTAGTCCTATACACGGGGTCTAAGACCTTGTGGTTTTATTATTGTTCCTTTTGGTTCTGAGTGGAACACAAGGTTTCAACAGCACGTCTCCACATAATCTACGTATCACAATTGGATGACTAGCCCACCGCTTCCTATTAGGGCTCTATCCAAAGTCCCGGTGTGTTGTTCCAGTTGAATATCTTCTTAACACATATCCGGTCAATTTCCATTTCTTTCTTCATACTGAGATTAGATGATCGATTCTTCTTGGATGGTTCACTGTCTAGTTTGCTGGCCGATTCTAAGTTCAGAAAACAGAGAGAAGTTTGATGGTGTGGGGCTACACTCCTTAAAAAAAAAAACACCGCTATTGTTTTGGAAAGTTCTCCCGAATCGTAAACCTTCTCAGCTTGAGGACAGATGACACCTGCTGGTGATAACTTGCGGAAAGCTAGTCGGCAGATGTTTCCTCTTTTAATGTTAATGTTTTAGGCTGAGAAAGTTGCTCAGATTGCCGAAGAAATAAGAAAATATATATAGTAGAGAAGCTTTAGGAGTCTGTAAGAGCAAATGAAATGATAGAGGATTGTCTAATTTGTTAGCCGGTGAGTCAATAATCTACTCCATTCGTCAAGATGGCAACCAAGGGCAAACTGAGAGTTTGGCCAAGATGATGATGTCACTGTCTGCATCGGAGGCTTTCATGCAGTATTAATCAGTATCCTCCAGGAATGTGACAGAAGGATTCAACTCAAAATGGAGGAAGGTTAAAATTATTATTATTGTTTCATTTAGTTCCCAGAGGAACATAGGGCTTCAGCCAAACGTCTCTATTACGTTTGGCTCTCTGCCAACGTTTTCACCCACCTCCACGTCTGCCCACATGTTTTCATCTCCACTTCACATGACCTCCTCCATGTCGCCCTCCCACTGACGACCAACTCGCCTCTTCCTATTCGGGTTCCACTCGAGCGATGGCCTGGCGTATGATGTCACTCACTTGATGGTTTGTTTTCTCAGAGTATGACCAGCCAATCCACCTCCATTTCTTCCTGCTTATTTGTTGCACAATCGGTTCCTGGTTGGTTCGCTCATTGCCAGAGATCCTTCCCTCTTGCTGATCTTTTCTAGGCGGCCATCTGGTCTTGAGCAGTACTGAGCGAAGACAGCTATTGATGAAAATCTATAGTTTGTTCGAGTTGTTCTTCATGATGCGCCGAGTCTCTGATCCATAAAGTAACACTGACTTCACATTGGAGTTGAAAATCCGGATCTTATTTTTGATGCTGAGTAGTGCTGTTGACCGCCACACAGACTTGAGAGTAGTGAAAGCTTGTCTTGCTTTTCCGATTCTTGCTTTGATACCCTCGTCAGTACCGTTCGCCTGTAGTTGAAACGATGCTTCCCAGGTAGGTAGGTAAAAGAAGTTGTTTCTTTCAGGTTCCTCCCATTTATGCTGATCGTTGTCTGTTGTTGTTGTTGCTGTTGCCCAGGAGTCTTCATCACCTCTGTTTTCTCTATGTTCATCTGAAGTCCTATCTCGTCTGGATGATTCTTCTGCCAACTTGTTGCTTTCGCTTGCATATCTTCCAGTTTGTGGGAAATCAGACATATATCACCGGCGAAGTTCAGATCCTCCAAGTACTTTGTGTGAGTCCATTTTATGCCTGTTTCCTCATTGCCCGCTCTCTGCAGCATTATCCAGTCTACCGCAATCAGGAAAATCATTGGAGATAGTAAGCAGCCAGCCAGCCTTGTCTCACTCACGTCTTTACTTGGCATGCAGCATTGTCGTACAAACTAGCATAAACATTCAATATTATCCATTTTGAATAGCATCATGTGAGTATTACATTTTTCGTCAGCAGTATCGAAGTGAACAATACACTCCTGAAGGTAGAATTAAAGTCTCTTGGGACAAATCATAAGTCCTACATTTTAGTTAAGATGTTGCTCACTGGCTTAGACACGTGATTGTCAACTGGAGAGCCACGATTTCGACTCCCTCTCTCACCTACTTCAGCTTGGGCGACTGTGTAGTATCACCAGCCTGATCCGTGAAAAGTCTTTCCCGAGTAATCGATCTGCAACAGACTTACATTGATTTCAAAATTAGCAAACTAGGTTTAATTGGCTTTTTCGCTGACATGAAAATGATCCTTACTTTTTTAAAGGTGTTACTACCTAATGTACTACTTAAATCCACTGCTCTGTCAATAAGTAGCATAAACTGTGTTGTATAAATTTCAGTTTCTTTCCGTTGAGAAATTAATGCCTGTATGCCTTCATGATGTATTGCATTATTTGCTTGCTTCTTTGTTTTTTTCTTCTTGATTGAAGAACACTGAAACGTTGAATGTGTTATCGTGTAGACGACGGTCGAATGATTCAATTGATCGACGCTGGTGTTTCGATATTGAAGTACCTAAAAGGTAAGTTTCCCTTTATGGTTGGTAAGCGGTTGTTAAACTGATTAATAGTCATTTTTATCAAAATCAATTAATTAATTAATAGTTTTCTGTGATTTCTTAGTGGGACAGAAGACTTTCAGGTTTCATGGTTGATAGTATAGGTTGTCGTTGGCTGTTGTATATAACTTCACTGTGACTGAAGATCTCTATCAACTGCCCAGATCTCAAAGATCCTGAACCTGCCGCTGGTTTCAGAAGAGTATGCCTAGTACACAGAATACTATGCACGGTAACCGACACAGAATAACAGAAAACGGTAGGGTAATACGATTGTTTATTCCTCCACCGATAACAAAACGCATTTACCAGTATAACCAAGTTCAAAGTCTGTACATAAACGTTAATTTAATGTACAATAATACTTGTGATCGTATTTCTCCAGTCCTCTGCTAACCAGTATACTTTCAAGCATTGGTTTTGTAGGGATTTTGTTTGATTGGATGGAGGATTTCATCATGAGCTGACATCAGTTAGAGAACCACTGGAAAACAAGCTGGGAGTACTGTACATCTGTTTCGTCCTAGTTTGGGACTCTTCATTAGTACGTACCCACCACAGGGGTTCGAACCCAGGACCTTCTGGTTACAAGGCGAGCTCGTAGACCATTGAGCCACTGGGACTGAAGAGTCCTAAACTAGGACGAAACAGCTCTCCAGTACTCCCAGGTTTTCCAGTAGTTCTCTAACTGATGTCAGCTCATGATGAAATCCTCCATCCAATCAAACAGTATACTATTAAGCAACAATAGTCTTCTTGTCTCCCGCCAAATGGAGACCAGAAGTTTGAATAAACAAACGATTCAATGTTCACCGACATTGACATTCTCCTTTTAAAGTCACTTCGTTGATTGATTTTACTCATTGCATTTACCGTATGTTCACTCAGTATTGATTTGACGTAAGAGAAATGATGTAGTATATTCGAATGAAAATTTAGGTTAGCTGTGTGGTGAGAGCTGTCTGCAAGCCAAAATTGTAAACAACAATTTACGTTAGTCAATGTTTACGTCCCGAATCAGGATCATGAGAAAAACAATAACAAGAACAAAGCCTAACCTTGAGGAACTCAACAACCAATCACAGCAGACTTAGCGTGTGCAAATATGATTCGCAGATATATGGCTTAACTTTCTAAGAAACAGTCACAAACAGTACAGAATAACCTTGAGCAAGGAGCAAGCAATCAGAAGGCGTTTCTCCGCTGACAATAATGTACATAAAACTCTATAAATATATGTTGATTTTCTCAATAAACGATCTGTTGTTCTGGCCCTTGTCTTCTATTGTTACAAGATTACTAAGAGTGACATCTTTTGGGGAACCATTGAAAACCGCCAGGGTGTACTGGACAACGAAATTTCAACCCAGTTTAGGACCCTTTGGCAGTATCTACCACCTACTACTCAACTGAGAATCGAACCTAGGACCTTCACTTTACTAGGCAGGCTTGTTGAACGTTCGACTACTGAGACGGAATCCAATAACATGTGTAATAGATTCCACTGATTCGTGATATAAAGTGCCACTTCAATCGGTGTCATCAGTGAGTAGTAGTCCTTGTTGTCACATGCGACTTGGTTGACCCCGCTGGTCACGGCTTCTCACTAAGACTTCAGGAACCTTCAATCATTAGTGTGAGCGCTAGGTTAACTTCCACGTTTCAGTTTCCTGAAACTTGATCGATTTCAAGTTATGTCACTATCTGATATCAATTGGAGAACCATACGGCTTCGTAGTGATGAATAGATTTCAGGTATTCCTTCTTGATCACTTTTCAATTGATTTTCTCTCTCTTTTTATTTTGTTTATTCTTCTAGAAGTAGTCCAATCACCCTACAGGCACAGTGTTTAGATGATCTACACGAATGGCTATTGGTAATGGATGGAAAAGAACCGGTGAGTAAGCCCCCCACCTTTCTTTTACTTTTCATATTATTTACTATTCCCATGTGGTTCCGAGTGGAACATACGACTTCAACAACACATCTCTACTTTGTTCTATTTTTTGCCGTACTCTTCAGCTTGGCCCACTATTGCCCATAGTCTCTCAAGTCCTCCTCCTTGCACGAAATCCTCCATGTCACTCTCGGACCATCGCCCGACTTGACATTTTCCATTCGGCATGGGGTGCGATGTCATTCGACGGTCACCTCAGCGTGTGCCCAATCCATCTCCATTTTTTTATTTCGGAACATTCGTTCAGCAAGACTCTCGGTTCGTTTGTTTCTATGGTTCCTTGTTGCTCATTCTTTGTGGTCAGTCATTTGATCTTCGATATGGGGTCAGCTGTTGATAAAAGTCTAGAGCTGGCTGTTGAAAATGCTTTTCTTAACACTCTGAACAAGTTTCTGACCCATGTAGAAGAAGTGACTGACTTCGCATTGGTGTTGAAAATCCGAATCTTGTTCTTTATACTGAGGCGGACGGAGTGCAGAAGATTTCCAAACTGATTTCGGAGTGATGTATGTGTGCCTTACCTTTCTGATTCTGGCTGGCTGGCTGGCTTTGACATCTTCATCCGTTCTGCGTGTTGTAGACCCGATGCTACCTAGATACGTATAAAAAGTGACCTCTTTCAAGTTTCTCTTGATGGTGGTGATTTTTGCTGTCGGTTGGCTATTTACGTCTTCTCCGTCGTCTCTTGATTCATTTGACGTACAGTATTCAATAACTTTTCTGTTACCGACCTATCGGCTTTTACCTGTCAGTCTTCAAGGTCTTTTTATCTGTCCAGCAAATTCCTGTCTTGTCGCTTCCATGCTCATGCTCTCGCATAACGCAATCCACCACAATTTGGAATATCATCAGTGATGGTACGCAAACAGCTTTGTCTTACTCCTGTATTCGCTGAGTTTTCCGTTGTCGATCACCTGACATTTGGCATTGTCATAAAACTATTGAATGAGTTTGATGAAAATTTTGGGTACTGCACTCCGTAGAAGTCAAATAACTTCTCGGTCAACTCTATCGAAGTCCCTTGTAAGGTTGGTGACATCCAGGTAGAAGTTTGTCTGCCGTTGTATACTTTGTTTGAGGAAGACACGTAGAGTTGCAATTTGATCACCGGTTAGTATGCGGAATCTATGTGACATTTTTGTGTCACGTCTATGGCTTTCCAGTTGGATATACCGACTTTCTTGCGTACATACATAATAATGGCAACACAATACACATTTCTTCATGTACATCTTGACAAGATAAAGTATAAACCGCAGCAATACGTGGATAAGGCATCAGCAGTATACCTACATTACAATCTTAAGGCGAAGTTAAGATTTGAAAGCCTTTTCGTTAACATCAATCTTGTGTTCTGTCTCCACAAGATGCGATGGAATAGCGCTATGTAAATAGATTTTGTTTGTCCTTTACTTAACCAACCACGCAGAGTGATGTTCGGAAATCCGACTAAAAACACGCCTCATTGTACGGCCTAAGCAGCTAACTGGCTCCACAGGATCAGTTAAATATGTGGAAACACATGGAAGAGGCGAAATTAGGCATGTACTCGAGACGACACTACTTGAATAGGCAATTGAAAAAGGTCACATCCTTTAGATTTCTCACATTGATGGTGATTGAGTTAAGCAGGGACTTAACTGCTGTCATTTTTTCGGAGCAGTGTATTCTATGCTTTCGGTGCCAAAATACCTGATGTAAATGGTTGTGAAAGCTGTTAAATAATCGGACTCTTGTATTTATTTTGATTGCATAAATAATCATTGACCTTTATTGTTATTTACAGTGTGAATTGTATATCCTGTGAAAACTCTATTGGTTTTACTGAATAACAATAATACTAATAATACTAACAAATTGTGTTATACAGGATAACATAACAAAGTTAGAAAATGTGTGTTATGACCTCACTTTATGCAAAACAGGCGGACCAAATTCCTAACCAGAAACAGTATGTAGTAAAGTTAACTATTACACTGAAGATGATATGTTTATCGACCTTGATTGTAAGTTTTGAAGATAAAATACACTGTCGCTTGGTTTGATTGGGTGATATGTTTGTTTGGAATGGATATTATTCTGTGTAATGCGTGGAAGAAGAGTCAGATGTTACACTGGTCGGATGCCTCCACAATAACTTAGGCATCTTTGCCAGCTCCCAACACTGGTCATATTCCTTCCTTTGAAGATGGGATTCGACTTAGTTGACCTGGAGGTGCTATTGTAATGCTTTGCTGTGAATGGAGTACTGAGCACTAATCAAAGCATTCTGCTGGAACTCAGCCGTGTTATAGCTAATGGAGAGTTATCGTCTGAACTAATGAAAACCAGTAGTATCCATCAGGGATACCAACTGTCACCATTTCTGACTTTAGCGACTTAGGATTTGACTTTTTACCACTGAATAATCCTGTTTACTTAGAGTATGTAGATAGAACGGTAGTAAAAGACAGAGTCTTCTGAAAACACCTGGAGGAGTAAGAATCTTCGAATGTTTGGCATGTGATCTGCTCCTGTCAAATGTAAGGTGAGGACTTACGGCGAGTTGTTATCTGAAGTGGTGACGACTAGTGGCGTCCGTCAAGGATGCCCATTATCCCCATTCCTATTCAATTTCATCATAGATGTACTAATGGACTTAACCCTAACTCACTTCAGCGACTCAGGGATTGACTTGATACCAGGGAAGAATCTCGTTGACTTAGAATACGCGGACGATATAGTCCTTCTAGGCGAGGACTCTGACAAAATGCAGAGTCTACTGAACACCCTGAGCAACAACCTCCGCATGTTTGGCATGCGATTCGCCCCTATAAAATGTAAGATGATGCTGCAGGATTGGACTTCATCGACCCCTAGATTAGAAATAGGAAGTGAAGTGGTAGAACACGTTGACCGCTTCACTTACTTGGGAAGTACCATCCGCCAGTGCCAACGGGTTGATCTCAGACGAAATTTCAGCACGAATACAGAGGGCTAGGTTCGCATATGCCAGTTTTCACCGTCTCTGGCGTAGACGCGATATCCGACTATCGACCAAAGGGCGTGTGTACTGCTCAGAAGTCCGCTCCGTCCTCCTTTATGGCTGTGAGACCTGACCATTGAGAGCAGAAAACATGAAAAGATTAGCTGTCTTCGATCATAGGTGTCTGCGTTCTTTCTCGCGCATGAAGTGGTATAATAAGGTTAGTAATATTGAGGTTAGGCGTCGAGTGCTAGGTAAGGCGGGGAAATCAGTCGACGAGACTGTGAAATTACATCGACTGAGATGGTTAGGACATGTGTTACGTATGCCCAGTCATCGCCTTCCTCGACGGGCAATGTTAGTGATGTATGGTAGGGTGGAAAAGAGCTAGCGGCGGTCAAACCAAAACATGTAACCAGTCAATGAAATCTGCAACAGTTAGTCTAAGCCACGTAGGAAGGTGTAGACTTCGTGGTTTTAATCCTCGGGACGGTAAAAGCCAATGGCTGGAAACAATTGGAATATGGCTCAAAATCGTTCTCAATAGCTGGGGCAGATGCATCCACTCCTTGTGACTTATGATTTCCAATGAAACTGTTTCGTTCTTCGTTATTACTATTCCTTTGTCTCACACGTGTTTCTACTGTCTGTATTATTCATTTCTTCTACTTTCTCCTGTCGGTTTGTGCGCTACAAGGAATGGAGTGTGGTGACTTGAACTGCTGCACACTGGTTGCAAAGTTCTATGTCGAAAACAGACCGAATCTAATTGCATGTGTATAATATGTTCCAACTAGATGATATATGATGAAATCTTTATGCAGTCGTCTATATTCCATTGAGATATTTGTTACTCTATCATTGTCGTTTGTTTCTTTTTGTTCCATGTTAGATTTACGATGATAGAAGAGTTTGTGTTCAAGAACCAGATGCAAGTAAGTATTACACTACTCTGTTTCATGTACTACTACTACTACTCTATCTACTCGTATTTATATAAAAGTAACTTTGGTAATGAAACAGTATTATTTACACTGGATGCAGGAATAAAAGAGGCTGGCATTCGAACCACCCACAAACTCAATTAGAGATAAGCTTTGTCAGTTAAAGGATAAATCCTGTAGAGCCCATTAAACAAAATAATTGAGTTTATGTAATACCCTGCTCGCAATGATTGTCAGGTCAAATACATAGGTCAAAGTAGTAGAACAGGGGCAGTCAGACTAGCTCAGACTAGCCGAGCATAAAAACCTAGCAAAATCTAGAATAGTTGATCCGAATAAGACAAGAAATCTGGACAATAGTTCAGCTATACCACTCACTACATGCAATCACACACAACACAGCTATACAATAGGATGGATTGGATAAGATGACAGTTTTAAAATCTAGTGTTACAGGGCGAAGGGAGGGACAGATTTATAACAGAAGCTTTGTTTATCGAATCAACTGAAGATAACACGTGTAATAGGAATGATTCAACACTTGTTCAGTCGGATATCTGGAAAATTCTTCTACCCCACCGACGGCAAATAAGAGAGAATAAAGAAAACTATAAAACTCAAGTTCCGAAGGTGTGCAGTTATAATTGAGAATATGGTTATGACTAATAGATAAATTCTATTCGAAACGACAATATCCAGTAAATAATACTTACTACCACAGTACCCACGTTTTACTCATGTTAATATGTTAAGGACAGATAGGCTTTTTTTATCAGCAAGTACTACAAAGACTAGTGGCCTGCTTGAATCACTCAACCAGCCGAATTTCCATTCAACACAGTAGTGCATCTTATTTTCTTTAATTCTTATTATTTCAATCACTCAATTATGTGTCCTTGAGTCTCAAAGTGCACTCATCACGCAAACTTTTAATTGGCTTTGAAAGATACGGGTAAGCATATCTCTGAGATGAAGGGAAAATATCATAAGAGGTTGGGTTTACGTTTCAGATTGACGAGTACTGAGTCACATGATGTACTATCTTTGATTGGACACTAATTAGTAACTAGTGTAATGTGTCTAGTCTTCTGTTTATTACAGACTGAATTCTTTCAATAAAGTTTTTGCACTGTGGTCACCACTCCGAGTTGATCGCCATCACAGTGCACTTTTAGTTGTTAATGTTGGATGGTTGGAGATAATCGGCCACAAGAAGCCTTAGACTGCTTAGGTTTCGTGCTAGTTGGCACTCATCAGTCAGCAAGGCGTATCGGAAACCGTGAAGGAATTCACATCCCTTCTAAGATTCGAACCTGCATCACCCAGTGTGTGCTGCAGTCAAATACGTCAGAGATCACTGAGCTATTCCAGCTCAACCATTTAATATCAACAATTCGAACTGCATTGTGATGGCGATCAACTATGAGTGGTGGCCACATTGCGAGCCTTACTGAGCGAATTCTGTTTGCAATAAACAGAGGACTAGACACATCAAACCAATTGCTAACAAGTATCCAATCGAAATATCCAACACAGTCCTAGGAGAAGTCAGTCGTGAGCCCGATTCCGCGACTAACTTTTCTCTCCACCTAACTGTGTAATTCAGTTAATACTTTGAACGTAGTTAATAACGATGATTATAATGATAACAAAATAATGATAATTAGGTTTATGCAGGTGGCGATGAGAATAACAAAGGTAGTAATATGCATGTGTATATGTAGACAATTCAATAAATAAACAATTAGGTCAAATCTCAAAAGTTACGCAATACTAAAGGTGAAGTGGACAGATAAATAAATATCATGAAAGTACGAAGGAAATGGAAAATAAGAAAGGGCGGGAGGGTTTTGAATAGAATTCACCTAGGCCAAGGGAGAGACAAAGCTAAAACAAACTTCTTTTGTATGCACAGACTAGGTTTGTTCTCTTCGGATGAAAGACAAGCTACCTAGCTGTGCCATTTCTATGTATATCTATAAATTTAGTTGCTCCTGTGCAGAGAGCTATGCAGGGCGAACAACTAGACAGCTTAACAAACGCATCATTACTGAGCATCTTCCTTCATGGTTCGGAAAAGGTCAAATAAAATCTATACGAAGTTCTATTTTGGCTCATTTGATTGATAGTGGTCACCAAGTGGACAGAAGAAGTGCCTTCAAAGTTATCTATCGCATTCCATCGAGCCTTTCGAACGGAATTCGAACCCGTCTTTTACACATAGCCGAAGCTATGGGAATTAATTTGAGAGAACAATCCTAGTCTTTGCATACAACAAAAGAAGTTTGTTCTACCTTTGTCTCTCCCTTGCTTGCCTAGGTGAATTCTAATCAAAACCCTCCCACCCTTTCTTATTTTCCATCTCCTTCGTACTTTTATGATATTTATTTAAACTCTGATTATCTGTCCACTTCACCTTTAGTATTACGTAACTTTTAAGATTTGACCTAATTTATTTATTTATTGGATTGTCTACATATACACATATCACTCACTACCTTTGTTATTCTTATCGCCACCTGCATAAACCTTATTATCAATATTTTGTTATCATTATAATCATCGTTATTAATTACGTTCAAAACATTTACCTCATTATTATTATTATTTGATCCACAAAATCACCGTCATTGGTTAAATTCAGTTTTATATATAAATCTATGTAAATTAGAGTAAAGCCTGAAGAAGATCTAATTGAAAACAACAATATTGTTCGCCTGTTATATGTTTCATTCTAGGTCGAGCAAAATATTAATGTTCAGATAATCTGAGTGATCCCGATCTACCAGTTTGACCTATGTTATGAAGGTGCCACATTCATTAAAGCAACCAACTCACTTAGAGACAATGACTCTTTAGATCCAATTGAAAAAAAAAAAGATTGGAGGTCAATTACACTGGTTAAACTAGCTGTTCGGGGACATGAGCATTTCGCTAGATCCACATTGATTGACTCTGTTAAGTTAGTCATCGAATCTGTGAAATGATGCGACTACTATCTCAGATCTTATAGAAAATTGTGATAAAACCATATCAGGGGATAAAGCTACATAAAGCAAGTTATCAAGTTGTTTGAGTGCATTGATGTTATTATGAGTAATGTACGTTAGTGATTCCAAGGTTGAATGCCCGCCAACCACTGATGTGATTTAGGCTCGATTCTTGGCGGATTCACTCCTTAAAATTTGTCAGCCTGCCTGAATCACTGAGCTGCCTAACAGAATCCATCATGATATTTTCTCTGATTCTTTTTGTCTTTACCAATCAATTATGTATCCTTGAGTCATAGAGTGTACTCACCATGCACCGGTGTGCACTTCGCTGAGACGAGGGTGAAATATCATGTGGGATTTTAGTCTATGCTTCAGATCTAAAAGTATTTCATCACGTGATATACTATAGCTTGTTATTTTATACATTTATTCCCCTTAATAAAATTGAACAAAGCAAGAACTACAGTTTTAGCAGAATAAAGTGGTACCATCTTTTATTTCGTTGCCTTCTCGTCAGCTCAGGCCAAAGAGATTATTAAATGTATCTACACAAACAATTTTAACATACTTGCACAGAGTTCATTTTAAACAAAAATTAATCGATCAATATACACATACACTAATAATATATACATATATATATGTAATATTAAACACTATTCCGAACAATAATAATCATACACAATGAAAACTTTTCAGCACTTCGCATTCAGATGAAAAATATCCAGTTACCAGGGCAAAGAAAGACTGATAACCGCTTCTTTCTGAACGCATAAATCAGGTTTTAGGCGCTTGATGGAAATAGCTTCAGCAAACTTGAGGAGAATTGAGCTTTTGCCTATTGATAATTTTCAACGACTTTTCGACGTCCACTTCATGACCCGTGTCGAGGAGATGCCTGGCGATGGCACTGTTTAAAGCATTTGTTCCCTTTAGACGTAAGCTTTTTGGTACATGTTCAGAAAATCGTAGATATGCCCTTCTTTCTGTCCTTCCAGTATAACTCCTCCTGCAGATCCCTGTAAGCAGCTGACGAGAAGGCAACGAAATAAAAGATGGTACCACTTCATTCGGCTAAAACTGTAGTTCTTGCCTTGTTATTTTACTTGAACATCCTGAATGAGGCGAAAATATTATGCAATAAGAATACGCTGAGAATTCAGTACACTGTGTAAACATTTTGTTCAGAATGAAGTGTTGGTTCTTAGAGATATGATTGGTTACGGGATTTCATCATAACCTGATATGGGTTAAAGAAGCATTGGAAAATCAGCTGTGAGTTTTGAACATCCGTTTCGTTCCCGATTGGGACTCTTCACTAGTATGCATCTAATAGGGTTTGGATGCCTTGTAACCAGAAGGTCGTGGGTTAGAACCCATGTGGCTCTTCACTGCTAAAGAGTCCCAAACGAGGACGAAACAGCTGTCTAGCACTGCCTCCGGGTGGTTTTCCAATGTTTCTCTAACAGATTTCAGCTCATGATGAAATCCTCCAACCAATCAAACAAAATCCCTACAAAAACCAATACTTGATAATTGGCGATTTCCAATTTTTACAGCTCAGCATGAAATTTCCCTATAGATACCTTTAGAAACCGAAATTATTCCGATTACAGTATGCTGTTTGCTTGATACCATAAATAGAAATCAAGAAAGCAAGTACAGAATTGTGAAGTTACAGACTACTGACTGATTGACATGAGTAGTTGAATACGACTCACACCAGTCGGTGGTGCTTCCTCACCAGGCAGATTCAGGTAATGTAAGTGCCGGAAAGCCGTTAGGCTTATTTGGGGTCAAACTCATCAGCTCAGACGACGCGTGCGATAATAGTAATGATTCAACACCTTTCCAGGATATCTGTGAAATGATATTAAGTAGTTATTTTGGTTGGACATTAGTCAGTAACTAGTGTGATGTGTCTAGTCCTTTGTTTGGTGCAAAATGAATTCTATCGCAGTCAAGTTTGCAATGTGGCCACCATGCTAGATGGTTCGC